CATAAAACCCACCAGAGATAGAGAACAGCGCAACAGATACATTAGCTAAAATGAAATTATCTGGGCAGGAAATGTTACCCTCACATGCTATTTTTGCTGCAAATGTTTATGCCCATCTGTTAACTGTTAACATGGCTCTGTGCCGATTACAATTTGGCTGTTTCATTAAGGCTATACTATACTATATATGTAACTCACAAGCACTCCGCATAAATTAATCAGTTGTGGAGGAAGATGGAGTTTACTGTTGTGATCAGCCCTTTAATAATTTACTGAAAGCTTATAATGACCCACACGGTTTAGAAGTGCTCCAATTAAGGTATACATTTAATGGGGAAACAGCCGGAGGAGGCAAACAGCCACGGTAACTTCAAGATTATTCCTCTTGCTCATGGAACGTAATGTGGCTGTTGTAGTTCTCTCAGAACATGGCAATCTAGGCTGTTAATATTACTTCTGGGTTCTGCCTTATAATCCCTGGGCTGAAATGGTTGGTGGCTTTCTGAAACATAGAGCTTAGAATCACGGTGGTTGGAAGGGACTTAGAAGATCTTCTCATCCACACCCCTGCTCAAGGCATGAGACCTTATACCAGGGGTGTCAAACTTGATTTCATTGAGAGCCACATCAGGGTTGTGTTTGACGTCAAGGGTGGCAGGGTGAGTGTGGCTGGGATAGGCATGGCTAGGGTGGGCATGGCCAGCTTGATGTCACTTGTGTTGGGGGCACCTATGGTGGCCAAGTGCTAAGGCAGGACTTCCCTCTGACCCTCCCTCACTCTCATTATAATTTCCTTCCTTCCTTCCCTCTTCCTTTCTTCTCCCTTCCCCTCTTTCCTTATTTTACCTTCCTTGCTCTCTTTTTCTTTCCCCTTTCGCCTTTCCTGCCCCTTCTTGCATGCTCAAATGCAAAAGGGGAAGCATCTCTCCTTTGGTTTTGTTTTTAGTTTGTTTTGCTAGCCCTCTACCAGCAAAAACAGAACCCGGAGGGGGGGAGGCTGTGTGTGGCTCCCCTGGGCCCCATTTTCAGCTGTAATGGCCTCCTGCAGCTCTCCGCCAGCAAAAACAGAAGCTCTATTTTCCCTAGGGAGTGGGCTACATACAAATGTCAATAAACCTAAACCTATTTTTGCCAGCAGAGGCAAACTGGTCCTTCGCTGTTTCCAGGGAAGCCCCACGGGGCAGATCTAAGCACCCCATGGACTGCATCTGGCCCATAAGTCCTGGAAGACTGCTATCATGTCATCCCTGGCCCTTCTCTTCAATAGGCTAGACCCACCTGGTTTCCTCAACCATTCATAATATGATTTAGCCTTCATCCTCTTTGTTCTCTTCTCTGTACACTTTCTAGGGTCTCAGCATCTTTTTTTGTATATATAGTTTGAACCAGGGTTACGTTTAGGCTCAATTGTTCTTCACTCTGTGCTTTCAGATTTTCCAGAAGGCATCTTCTGCATGTCTTATCATGGCTAGGACTAACATCAACACCAAATGTGGGCTTTGCTCTCTTTGGGACTTTCCACTGTTGTGGAAGGAACAGCCATCAAAGAATTCCTAATTATAGTTTAAGAAACAGCTGGTGCATGCTTTTTCTAAGTAAGAAACATGGCTTCAGAATTTGGGAACAAAACGTCAGAAACAAGGTAATCAAGACGCACCAATGAATTCAAGGCAATGTATTGCACCATCTGCTTTAAGCTATAGGTATTTATGCTATGTCTTGAGAACACACATCTTCAGTCTATTTAGAAGTCATCTGAAATTATCTAGCCAAAAGGTGAACAGTGTTGTGGCCTGCCAGCAGATTTGGACAGTGAGGAGGTTGGGGAGGAACATGAGCCAGTCCTGGAGTCTGGGGAAGGCTCTGATGAGGGCTNCTCCACTGTGCTGTACAGTAGAAGCCATTTTAAGGCACAACAGGCTGTACCTTAGCAGAACTTGAATCCAAAATGCACACTATCACTGTCAAAAGTACTGTGATTTGACGCTATAGATATTGTATATTTCATTCCTTTCCATTTCAGTGGCCCAGGCTTTTCAGAGTTATGCTGGAACACAGACACACACAGACAACCCCCCCCCCCCAAGGAGTGTTAGGGGTGTCTTACCCCCACAATATTTTTTTCCCCAGAGAGTAAGTTATCTGTGTACCAAGTTTGGTTGAAATTGCTTGAGGCATTCCAGAGTTATGCTGGAACACACCTACCCACTCATTTATTTATATAGGTTAACATATAAAGTTATATGTTTATATATAACTTATACAAATATAATATAATTATTTATATAGGTTGACTAAAGGCCGGGGAAGGAAGAGCCAAGATGGTTAAAGTTCCTTCACGTGGAGTTCTTGAATGCTCTCTTAAGCTTGGTGGTTTCTGTGTAGAGTTGGGTCATGAACCAAGAAGATCATCAAGGTCAGAGAGCACCAAGAAGTCCACCATTCAATCCCAAGCTACAGATTTGCTCATGTTGAATGGTCCTTCCATATGAAACCCTTAAAAGAACTTCAAGAAGGTCCAGATCATGGAAGATCAACGGAAGGCCATGGTTGATTTGACAAAAGGGACTGGAGATTTCTAGATCGGGGATCTTCTCACATCTCCCATGGTTCAACCCACCTACCTTCCCTTCCTACCTGAGTCCAGTTCCGGAACATCCCAGCCAATGCAGAGGTAGATAAAGTAGGCCAACAACTCCGCCCCCCCTCCCCACATGCCTTCTTCATGCTTGTATCCATGTAGCAGAAGCTCAACGGAGGTGAAGAACCATTTCTCCAAATGATCATCTGGCTGAATCTCACCACCTCTGGGGAGCTGTGGGGTTTCATCCCTCCATCCCCCTACCCCACCTTTTGAAGCTACCATGGTGTATAGCAGCAGGAATCCCAGGTGATTCAGGGTTTGGGGGAAAATGAGGACAGAGGGAGACCCTCAGGAGGACAAGGGAGAAGAAAGAAGTGAATCCCAAGATGCCAGGAGTAAAGTCAGAGAAGAAGTCTTCCCTTGGGAACAGGAGCCAGAGCAGCTGGGAAAAAGCCCACCCCGAACCTCAAGAGCATGCAGGAATTTCCCAGGATGCATTTGGGCTGTGGATGGAGGCACCTACTCTCCTATGCTCTGGCTCTACAGCAGTGTTTCTCAACCACCGACATAAGATGTGTGGACTCCCATCTCCCAAAATTACCCAGTCATGCAGGAATTTCCCAGGATGCAGTTGGGTTGTGGATGGAGAAACCTGTTCTCCTACACTCTGGCTCTGGAGTGGTGTTTCTCAACCGTTGGCATTTTAAGAGGTGTGGACTTCAACTCCCAGAATACCCCAGCCAGCCGGCTGGCTGGGGAATTCTGGGAGTTGAAGTCCACACCTCTTAAAATGCCGACGGTTGAGAAATACTGCTCTAAAAGAGTGCAGGGAAATCTCCTCCACCTTTTCTCCAGTGTTAGAGAAGCTCCCCGAAATCGCGAGGCGGCGTGTTAGTAGTGAGGAGAACGTGTCACAAATACAGGCATGCGTCACACAGATCCCGGCCCGGCCCAATACTTACTGTGGCCGGGTGCCGAGGGTATGTTTCCATTGGATACTTGCTGTTCCGCCTTCCTAAATAAACAGCAGACAGGTGTGACCCACCCCAAACGAAGTGGGGATCAGTTTCCCGACACAGCCAGCAAGTTATTTGAGGTCCTGCACTTTTTAACCCCTCCCCACGTCTTAGACATCAACAATAGTTAAGTTGGATGGTCATCTTGGCTGGGAATTCTAGTCCCCGCCTAGGTGCCCTCCAGATGTGCTGTAACTAAAACTCCCAGAATTCTCACAGTCAGCCCTTACATACAGTATCTGCATGGCCTAAGATCAGTGTGAGTAAAACGTTTGGTGGCTATTTCCTTGCTAATACCCCAAATTTGTCATTTTGGCACTGTCCCTTATATTTTTCCCCTTAATTTGACCTTCAACCCCTTTCTCCCCAGTTAGGCTCTTTCAAATATTATAATTGCAAATATGATTTAAAACAAAAAGATTCACAAATGCTATGCACGTTGCCCTCCTCCCCAGAAATCCAATGCCTCAACATTTTATAATACTTAAGACATCAGGAAAGATGTGCCCTCAAAGATGTCGCCCCTTTTCCCCCCCTCAAAGATGAACTGGGACTACAACGCCCAGTATCCCCAGCCAGCACACACATCTCCACGTACCTGAAAGGACTCAAAAATTGAAACGTTGATGTGTCCAGCAGAGGCTATTTTGTTCTTACGGGCCCATTGTACTTCGGTCTAGGAGAATGATTAGATTCAGCAATGGGCACTGAATCTAATCCCAGATCCCCAGGGATACTGGGATGTGGATACCTGCTCTGCTCCTTAGTGGATCCTGTTTTTTGAATCTAGTAAGCCTCGTTAGAGCCCTTTGCCCCCTCAAGAGCTTCCAAAAGATTGCACCAAGGTAGATTTTGATCCAAGGTGAAGGAGGAGGAAAGAAAACAACCGTGGATAACATTGGTGCCACCACCCCGTTAAGTCCAAAGTTAAGTGAAACCAGGCACCCCGTAGGAGGAAGGACCTCGAGAAGTTCGAGAAGGTGATGCACCCAATTGGGAACGCCGACTCGGCGGGGGACTTACCAACAGGAAGCCTTGGTCCACAGGAGGTACACAACGATTACGCAAAGCATCACTCCGGCCACAGAACCGATAGTTGTCCCAGCAATGACTGCAACCGACATGCGGGGCTGAATCGCACTCTCATCTGTCAGAAAAGAACACGTGAAGGTTGGAGAGCACCTAGCCATGGACTTCTCTAGTTTCTTGGGCAAATCAATGGGGGAAGGGGGAGTAGATTTCATTGGAAGTCCTACTCTATGGCTGGTAACTTCTGAACACGAAGCTACTGTAAGATGGGGACCTAACAGAATAACAGAGTTGGAAGGGACATTGGAGGTCCTCTGATGCAACCCTCTCCTCAGGCAGGAGAGGAGACCCTATACCATTTGAGACAANCCGGGTCCACTGGTGGAACCTCTTCTAACCGGTTCGGTAGATTTGACGAACCGGTTCTACCGAATAGGTGCGAACTGGTAGGAACCCACCTCTGCCCTCAGGGGATTAAAAAATGCCCCGATGAGCTTGTTGTTAAAATATTCATGACTGGGAGAGACATGGGAGCAAAGTCAGCCAATGAATAGGCACAGCAACTAAGTCAGCCAACGGGAGCTTAAACAGATCTGAGTCTGTGCAGAGAATTGAAACCGAAACTTAAGCAGTCAGCTGCTCTGAAAAGTAAACTAGCAGTCTGTCTGGGCTTTTCTGCTGAAATGAAACTAGCTGTTTGTGTTTGCCGGTAACTCTCCTGCCTTGCGTTTACTTGGAAGAACCACCTGTTGGTATTGTACATTTATTCATTTATTGTTACGTATATAAAGAAGTTAATGAATCCAGCTGAATCGGTACCCTGTGTGTGCTTTCTGGATTTGAATTTGTGCAACCAACTCTGAAACGTGTTCTGCTTTGTATGATCCATGATTGGATAATAATTCCCTGTGTCTCATCGCCAACCTGTTCAGCATCCAGATTTTAATACATTCCTCTTCAGGCTCCTCTTGTTGACACGGATGGCACAAGCAGGACCCACAATCTGTCCTTCCGTAGGACAGGTCGTCCTTGAGATACAACCTCCATCGTATCCAAAAATCTCTGTTGCTAAGCAAGAAGGCTGGTAAGTGAATTCCCCCCCCCCAATTTTACGACCTTTCTTGCCACACTCGTTATGCAAACCACTCCGTTTGTTTTAAGTTAGTGACACGGTTGTAAAGTGAATCCGGCTTCCCCCTGGACAGAGGATCGTATGACCCTGGGATGCTACAACCATCATAAATATGAGTCAGTTGCCAAGTGCCTGAATTTGGCCACAGGACTGTGGGATGCTGCAGCGGTTGTAAGTGTGAAAAGCGGTCAGAAGTCACTTTTGGTCAGAGACTGGACTGCCATTGGTCAGAAATGGCAGAGGGTCTCCTGCTTGGGTGGGGGGTTGGACTAGATGACCTACAAGACCCCTAATCTGTAATCTGTGTAGTCGTGGTCACTGGCTTTCAAAATCTTGAGTTGGCAGGAGCTGGCGTGAATGACAGGAACTCGCCCCATCCCACAGCAGCCACCGGGTCTCAAACGCCGATTTTGTCAACCCAGATTGGCTTTAGGCCAATCACCAGGAGACAGGGAGTTCAAGTTCTGCCTTGGCCATGAAAGCCAACCGGGTGACTTCGGGCCAGTTCCTCCCTCTCAGCCCAAACCCACCTCACAGGGCTGTTGTTGTGGGGGAAATAGGAGTGCGGGGGGGAGGGAGAAGTGGGTTGGATATATCCAATGCCTTGAATTACTTGTAAAGGTAACGAAGATGGGATACAAATAAAGAAATCAACTAAATGCACAAGGCTCGCAAACATTCTGTGCATCACACCCGACGTGCAGAGAAACTGCTTAATTATACACTGCAGGATAATTATGGAGTACTGTAAAAGTGTTTAGGTATGTAAGGAGCTACTGTTATCTGAAAGAACCCGTGGTCTTTTAAATAACCCTGTCAAAACTTGTGTCTGCTGAAGGTTTAGAACTGTCCCTCCCCCCCCCAATCCACCCTCAAGGATTTTTGACTTATCAAGTTGAATGCAAGCCAATATATACACATTAACATTTCTGGTCCCTTGGTAACCTCCGATAACGATTTCCTCCTTGCAATGTTTTTTTGCAAGCACCCCCACGCATGCAATCCAAAGAGAGGAAGAGGCTGTGAATTTGGGAGGGGGGGGGAAATAATCTGCCCTCCCACCAATCTGAAAGGGTTCTTAATGCTCTCTGAGCTTGGTGGTTTTCTTGCAGGCGTTTCATTACTAGTGACACTGATGGTGTTACCGAGTTGGGTGATGAAACGCCTGCAGGAAAACAGCCAAGCTCAGAGAGCACCAAGGACCTCATTCTCCTCCGAAACCTTACTCCCTTCTAGCACTGATGAAGTTACCTAGCTTGGTAGTGAAATGTCTGGAAGAAAACAGCCAAGCTCAGAGAGCACCAAGGACCTCATTCTCCTCCGAAACCCTACTCCCTTCTAGCACTGATGAAGTTACCTAGCTTGGTAGTGAAATGTCTGGAAGAAAACAGCCAAGCTCAGAGAGCACCAAGGATCTCATTCTCCTCCGAAACCCTACTCCCTTCTAGCACTGATGAAGTTACCTAGCTTGGTAGTGAAATGTCTGGAAGAAAACAGCCACGCTCAGAGAGCACCAAGGACCTCATTCTCCTCCGAAACCCTACTCCCTTCTAGCACTGATGAAGTTACCTAGCTTGGTAGTGAAATGTCTGGAAGAAAACAGCCAAGCTCAGAGAGCACCAAGGACCTCATTCTCCTCCGAAACCCTACTCCCTTCTAGCACTGATGACATTACCCAGCTGGGTCATGAAACGCCTGCAGGAAAACAAGCTCAGAGACCACCAAGGACCCCCTCATTTTAACCCTAAATGACAATATCCTCCTTTGTTGCCACC